TCAAGAAGGATATTGAAGGTTCTCAAGAAGGATTGGAAAGGGTTCAAAGAAGAGCCATAAGAATGATGAAAGAATGAGAAAACACACAGACTTAGGGAGTTCAATGTACTTCACTTAACAGAGAAAAAGTTAAGGAGTGACTTGATCACAGTTTATGAATACCTGCATAGGGAACAAATATTTGATAATGGGCTCTTCAAACTAGCAGACAAATGTATAATAGGTTGAATGGCTGGAAGGGTAAGCTAGACAAATTCAGACTAGAAATAAGGTATACATTTTTAACAATGAGCATAATTAACCTCTGGAACAATTTACCTAGGGTTATGGTAGATCCTCCATCACAGGCAATTTTTAAATCAAAATTGGATTTATTTTTAAAAAAATGTGCTATAGAAATTATTTTGGGGAAGTTCTATGGCCTTTGTTTTACAGGAGGTTAGATCAGATGATCACAGTTGTGGCCTTGGAAACTATGAATCTATGAAAATGTAATGCACATGCTTAAATAAAGTAGCAGCACATCTTCATTTTGTCCACATGTTAAATAACACTGTGAACTGTTTGAGTGTTCCTTTGAAATAACCCTTTAGTCTGACTATTCTTTTCCAAAATAAACTAGGCAAGTAGTCAGCACTGACAACTAAAATTGGCAAACTTTCATTTTTTAAAATTACAGACCACCAACATTGATTAACAGTCCAAACTTATCTCTTACTCTGTGAAATTTCCATACTGACTAAACTGCTTTTTTGAAAACCTGGGAAATAAAAAACTCCCTGTAATCATGTATTCCAGGTGTCAAATTGGAGCAAATTCTTATAGCCAAATTATAAATGACAGGTTTCAGAGTAACAGCCTGTCTGTATTCGCAAAAAGAAAAGGAGTACTTGTGCCACAAATTATAAATGGTTCACATTGGAGGTTCCTAATGGAAAGGAAGACTTAGGTGTGCAATAATCACAAACATGGAAAGATTACCTGTGTTTCTATAGAGCCACTGACTGACACTCTTGAGAATGCGTAACACTTACAGGTGTTTTGACATTTGTCTTCATGAGTGAGAAAACTATCATTCCTGAGTATTGTAGCATAAGGGCATCATTAGGTGTCTCACCATGAGTGAAGATAAATGGCATATTTGACTGAAGACCTGGTATGTGTGTGTGTGTGTATATGTGTGGTGGGGATGGGTGCTGGGACTGGGGCTGAGTCTGATTTACAATAAAGCTCTTTACACCATCTTAATGTAAATTAGAATCAGGCCCATATATACTTGAGAATTATAGTTATAAATATACTTTATATACACACACACAACTTAAGATTTCTTATTGACTATAGTACATTTGACAACATTTAACATTTGGTTGTGTTATGTAGGAATATTTTCTGAAACAATACTGTTTTGATTTTTCTTTTGTGCAGCAGCCATTGCAATGCATGCTATCAGGTTCATTATACTTGTGTGAGAGTAGTTCGGCATGCTCATGCTAGTGGTTGATTTGTTTCTATGCTAAGTCAGACAACTGAATTTTAAGTGGTGGAATTCAGAAATGTAACATGATTTCTACTCACTTGGAGAAACTAACTATAGCAGGTGGAATATATCATGATAAGACATGCAAAACAAATAGAAAAAAACTCCAGAAATCAATAGTATGTCAACTGTATTAGAGGATTTTGATAACCTTGCAGCCACCATAATATTTTACAAAGAGCACAGATACATTATATATTGTATGTGTAGTAAATAAATTCGATAAACATCTATTAATTAGATAGATTGAACGATCAGTCATAGACAGAGGTGTTTTCATTTGGATCTTTTTCTCTACTAATTTTCTTTACCTTAATAGGGTCAATTTCATAAACTATGAGAACAGGGTAATTAAATGGGTGGGATGATAAATTTATAATATGTTTTCTCATGTATTTTAAATAGATGAGTACCTTAATTCAGGCTCATTCACATCTTTCTTTTACTTCATTGCCAGCTATTCAGGTCCTCTGGGCTCGATGCTGCACTGTGCAGAGCACGCTGGTCCCAGTCGAGCAAAGCACTTAAACACATGCTTAGATGTAAGTATGTGACTAGCCTATTGACCTCAGTGGGACTACTGACATGCTTTAAGTTAGGCACATGTTTAAGTACCTTGCTATCGGGGTCATAAACAAGACAGCTGTTATTAAACAAGAAAATCTATTTTTTTAACAAGAGGGCTAATATGCTTTAGACTCAACATTATTACATTCTATAATTGAAATGATAATGTCATTTCAATATTAACACATTTTAATCTTGATTGCAGCTGCATGCAGTTGCTTGCATGTATATGTGTACATTATACCTGTGCAAATATCACATTTCCTGTAATAATATTACCTGAAAATGTCACGAAAGACCTTTGATCCAGTTCTGACCCCACTTATGTAGGTGTCACTCAGCGGAGGCCCAGTTTCTCCTGTAAGCTGATAAAAATGAGGGTTACTATGGAAACCTTAATTCTGGTGTTTGTGGATTTTAAATCTCACACAACATGATAGACAGATACAGATATAATGTGTGTGATTTAAAATCCACAAACACTAGAGTTAAGGTTTCCATGGTAACCACATCTTCACTGGGCCTTGACTGAGTTACATCTATGTAAGTGAGGACAGAACTGGGTCAAAGGTCTTTCATTGCACAGTCAGGTAACATGACTGCTGGAAACATGATATTATCCAGCTTATATCCAGTGGTTTACCCTGTGGAGGTTCAAAGTAATAGTTCTCCTTCTCCCTTTTACCTTCCCCACAAAGGGAAAATCTTGATTCCCGAGCACTGAATCAGAACACAGTTACTTTGTGTGACATACAAAGAGCCTGAACCTCTGGTCCAGCCAAGATATGCGTAGTAGGAGACCCAATGGGGAGGACAGACAGCTCTACACCACTTTTGGAGCACCACAGTCCGGAAGCTGGCAAGAAGGCAGGTCAGCTGCCAGGGCTAAACCCACTACAGTTGCCCTAGTTTGTGTCTAGTTAGGATAGAACATCTCTTTGTGATGTTCTATCAGCCAGAGATTTTTAGAGAGGAGTGGCACTCTGGCCACTCCCTTTTCATCTGCCACACTGCTGGCATTTCCCTATGCCTCGCTACGTCCCCTAGACCTGGGAATCCTCAGTAGGCTGGCTAAGCCATCTTTACAGAGGGCCTTAAAGGGGTGCAGTTGAGCGGGAGGATCCGGCCCAAGATTTCTACTTTTACATTCCAATTAAAAGCAATATAAATACAATCCTTTAGCCATTACAGACAGCAGAATAATTTGCTGAAAGGCATATTATAAAGAAGCAAAAACAGTCTATTTAAAAGAAGACAATTGTATAGGCAATATACATTATTTTGAAATGATTTTCAATTGTAATTTTTTATTACTTGAGGTGAAATCCTGGCCCCCACATAAATCGATGTCACAACTCCCATTGACTTCACCCTCTGTCTTCAAATTTCTCCTTAACCACAGCTCTTTGAGCAATCTTGGCCACTCTATTTTTTTTTAAATCAGAAATCCCCCTTTAGCTGCGCTATTGTTGGTAACTCTCTTACCTGTTTTCGGGTGTGTTGTATTGTCTTTTGATTGTTCCTGTCTGGGGCAGGAACTGTGGCTTACTATGTTTGTACAATATCAGGAATATTTACAGCACTATGTACATACATTTATTTATAATTATTAGTGCCAAGGATAATATTACATTAATCCTTTTGGTAGAAGAGACCTGTAAAGATTACCTGAGGCTTCATCAGTGGTGAGTAATCAAGAGTTTTCCTGCTTCTTATGAAGTAAAAAGTAAACAGTCCCTTTAGCAATATAGTTGTTTAATCATAATCAAATAGCCCTTTAGAGTTTAAACATGCTCACTTATGTTTACCCTGGATAGTCCTTATTTGCAAGTCTTGGCTTCATCAGTTATCATACTGTTTTTGGAGGTGGGCACTTACTAGACAAAAGGCTCAAATTGAAAATAAAATATATCAGATATGTTCTGAGAGGTGGCGCTTACAATAAAAAAGCTGTCGGAGGGATTGGGGGAACACGGGGGGATGGTAATTGTGCTTGCCCAGATTTTTTTATTTTTCTAGCTAAATGCTTCCTAGAAGCTCAGATTGTCCCTGATCCTAAGAAAATGTTGTAAAGCTCCAAAAACTCTTTCATTTTTTTTTTTGGGTCCCCCAGCAGCTCTGGAACGCCCTGGCTATTATTCTAAAGGGGCCCTTAGCCCTTCCTGCCCAATGACAGGGACTTTTGGCTTTTACAAGCAAAACTCCCCGTTGGTTTCAGGTTTGCAAGCTATGGCCCAACCTTCCGAACACTGGAATCACACAAGCGTCCAGGGAGTTCACACGGCGTGGGGGGGAGGGTCAGAGAAAGTTCAATTACTTGCATACAAACAAAGAGAAAAGAAAAAAAAAGGGGGGGGACCTCTCCGAAAGTGCAAATCCTACCCATGTGCGTGACCAGTGCACAGAGCGAGGCTTCCAGCCCGGCATGCATGGGGGGGGGGGGGGTTGCATGAGGGGGTTTGTTCACACAAACGGATCATCACCACACAGAGTTAAAGAGAGAGTGAAATGGCTAACGTACACACACCCCGCTCCATACCGGAGAAGAGTCTCCCAGCTGAGGCTTATGCTCCGCAAGGACCAGGCTGAAACTGACCGCCCCCACGGCCACGCTGGAGACCCCCAGTCCTATCTCCAGCACGGAGAGCACCAAGAGGCTCCCAATGGTGTGGCTGCTGGTGCACATCCTCGCTGGGTCATCGTTCCTTCCAGCTCAGCCCGGAAAACAAACCATCCGCCTTCTCTCCGGCGCCTCCCTCCCTCGGGCTCCCCCAAACTTTTCTTCCCCCCTCCTTAGCGGCACAGCGTCAGATCCGCAGCTGGGGGGCCGGGCATCCCCAAGGCAAAGGCGGCTCTCCTCCGCCACCGGACAGGAGAACCCCCCCCTCCGCACCTCCCCACCAGGCAGCCTCGCACACAGGGATCCTCCCGTTGGCAGATGCCCGGAGCCCGGCAAGTCGCCGCCCGCCGCAGCTGCGGCCAGCTGGGCCAATCCTCCGGCGCGCCTGGCAAGGCGGCAGGCTCGGAGCTCTCCAAGGTACCGCCGCCTCTTCCGATCCCACCCCGGGGTCACGCGCCGGCGTCTCCAGCAGCCTCTACCGGAGCGCTCGGCTCGCCCAGGGATGGAGTGGGGCTTCTGACGGGCCCGGCCCAGGCTCCCTCGGCTGTCCCCGGGCTGGAGCTGTACTCCAGCGCCTCTCCCCCGCTCTCCCAGAGGCTGGGGAACGCAGATTAAATTCAGCACCACGCTCCACTCGCAGGCTGTGTCTCCTCCAGAAAAGTCGACCTTGTCTGATCGCCTCCTTCACTCCCATTGAAATGACCTCACTGGGGTGGGTTCTTTTGGGGGAGGGAAGTGGGGAAAATCCACCCTGGCTATATTTATGTATGAATCTGGGACCAATATCCAGGCGAGCCTCTATAGCAGCCCCGCCCCAGGGTCCAAACACAAGGCAACCCTCCCCCCCTCCCTCCCCATTCCCCCAACACACACCTCCTACATCCCTACCCCCACGCCCCAGCTGCCAAGGGAGCAGGAAAGTGGTGGTGCTGGCAGCAGAGTCCCTTGATGAAAAACTTTTGGGGAAGGCAAAAGCTGGATTCTGCTGAAGGTTCTCCCCCGCCCCCCTCAACGCTGTCACAATATAGAACAAGTGTAAATCTTCCAGTTGCACCAATCAAATCCAGACCTCAGAGCAAGAGCACTGCAAAAACTCAGATCCAGCACCAGGATCCTGGCATTTTTTGGACCCCTACTTCCCTAGTGCTCATGCCCAAATAGAGCACTAGGATAAATGCTCCTGTTATACCAGTGCAATCCAGATCTCAATGCAACCCAGAGCAAATGAGCCACAACTACTCAGAGCTGAATGTTGCTGGATCCTTCTAGTTTTTAGTACCAGTCATTTTGCTGCTTAAATAAAGAGCATGTTCACCCACTCCTATTGCACCTTAAAAATCCACACCCTGATGTGCCTCAGTGTAACAGTGCTGCAAAAATTCAGAGCTGGCATCTAGACCCTGGAAATTGTACCAACAAATCAGACATTAAGTGTTGTGTTTACAATTCCACCCAAAAATGTGGACCCCAACACATCTTGGTACAAGATAGTTGCAAATACTCTTAATCTGTACCAGTATTTTGCTGGATCAGCTAATTGTTGGCTGCATACTCTCTCTTTTACTGTATAAAATTAGTTCATATGCAGCTTCTCCTAGCCACCAGAATTATCCATGTCCCAACACTACAATGCCAAGATGCATCAGGTCCAGGTTTTTTGGTGCAGGAGGAGAACCTAGACTTGTTCCTTTTTTTAAATGATACAATTTGGAGACAAGAGTCCAAAAATTAGTAGGAACCAGGTAGACCCTGCTTTTTTCAGACTCCAAAACTTTCTTCTGAAAAAAAGAGATATAATGCTATGGCCATGAGATGAGGCGGGATGCCCACTGTGAAAACAGGATGCATCTATCTAATCTATCTATCTAATATACATGGGAGAAGATCAGATCCAGCATCTATGGGCCACATTCTAGATCTCACATATATATTGACATGGGTGGAATTGCTCCAGATTTGCACTGCGATCAGATTATACCTAGATGCAATCTAAATAGGACATATGCGAGAGAGAGAGAGAAAGAGAGAGTGAGAAAAGGAAAGAATATATAGCTATAGGATTGATAAGATCTTATCACCTCGTCACTTAGAACAGCACTTGCCGCAAATCTTTTCACACTTGCCCAAATAAACAATAGCAGACAAGCTAATATTTTGTGTCACTTTCCTAAAGGAAAACTACATTGCAGGCAAAATCAAAATTGTCCCCTTGCTGCTTCTCATATCTTCTGTCTTAAATAGAACCTGACATCTGTTATCATAAAAATCAAGGCACATATAAAAGCTCTTAAACTACTATACTTATGTGGGAGGATGGTGCAAGCACAGATTTTAAAGCACCCACACGGGTGTAGGAAGATATTTCTGCTATACTGGTGCCTTTCTCATGTCAAATTATTATACATTTGACAGTGTTGCTAAGGTGCAGGTGATTTTCCTCTCCATATATATATATATATATATATATCAGAACTGATGGTGATAAGATGAGAATTGGATAATGAGGTATTTAATTAATATGTTTAATGCATACAGCCAGATACAGAATGTGTCATGTCAGGACAGCACTTGTATGACATAAATAACGTTTCTGGTGAACAGCTTGCTTTACATAACATTTCCACATCAGTCTTAATAAGCTGTCAGAAAAAGAGGGGGAAAGAGGCCTTGTAAGAAGTGATTCCTAGCTGGAGATTGCTTGATATGACTCCGGATATACGCGGGAGCTCAATGGCATAATGGGAGGAGCCTTAGGTACATGGTCTCTCATATGCAGAGAAGTAAAGAATGGGGCAAGACCTGAAACAGAGTTCATAACAGTGCCCCCTTGGAGCTGAGTGAGCAATCGCTGTTTTCCACCCTTTAAAATGAAGAAAGGAAGGAAATATATTTCAATCATTACCTTTTTCAAACAAAGATATTCTTAGCTGCTTTCATTTATTTGTACAACAGTGCTGCATCATTATTTAGGCCCTGATCCCTGAGATTAATTTTACATTATTTCCCCCGCATAAATGTAAGCATATGTATAGATTATTGAAGCATCAGGGCATTCAAGTTTGGATGTATCTAACTGTTTACTGTTTGGATATTTCTATGTTTTATTGTGGTTTTCCTATATGTATTTTCCACAGCAGAATAATACAATAATATACTAATACAATTTTTAATTGTAACTCAAAAACTAGCACACGTGGCTTCGCCAAGACCTGAAGCAGAACCCCAAAATACAATTAGATACCAAGTGATAGTCTTCCATTTTAACTGATTTTTATATACCAGTAAAATAATCAAGATGTGGTGTTTTCTGTTCAAAAACCATCAATCTTATATAATTGTTCTTCTTGAAATAATTCAAAGCTTATTTTCAAAAAGTAATTTGACCATTATACCAGGAAGTGATGAGACCTCACCTGGAATACTGTGTGCAATTCTGGTCTCCCATGTTTAAGAAAGATGATTCAAACTGGAGCTGGTGCAGAGAAAGGCTACTAGAATGATCAAAGGAAGGAAGAACCTACTTGACATAAGGAGACATAAGGAGCTTGGATTGTTTAACCTAAGAAAATGAAGGTTCACGAGAGATATGATTGCTCTCTAAATAAATCAGAAGGATAAACACCAGGGAGGGAGAGGCGTTATTTAAGTTAAGAGCCAATGTTAGCATGAGAACAAATGGATATAAACTGACCATCAATAAGTTTAGGCTTAAAATTAGGCAACGTTTCTAAACATCAGAGGAGCGGAGGTCTGGAACAGCCTTCCAAGGGGAGTAATGTGGGGAAAAACCTAACTTCTTTAAGGCTGAGCTTGATAATTGTATGGAGGGGATGGTTTGATGAGGTTGCCTAGAATGGCATATGGACCATCCATGACAGCTATTAGCAAGTATCTCCAATGGCTGAAGATGGGACACTATGGGGGAGGTTCTAAGTTACTACAGAGGTTTCTTTCCCAGGTGTTTTTCCCCTGAGTAGTGGGTCTTGCCCACATGCTCAGGGTTTAACTGGTCACCATATTTGGGCTCAGGAAGAAATTTTCACCCAGGTGAGATTGGCAGAGACCCTGCGGGTTTTTGCCTTCCTCTGCAGTGTGGAGCATGGATCACTTGTTGGTTTGAGCTAGAGTAAATGCAGATACTCTGTAACTTGAAGTCTTTAAGTTAAGATTTGCTGACTTCAGTAAATCAGACAGAAGTTATGGACCTTCCATAGGAGTGGGTGGGTAAGGTTCTGTGGCCTGCAATGTGCAGGAGGTCAAACTAGATGATCATGATGGTCCCTTCTGGCCTTAAAGTCTACAGTCCATGAGACTCCCTAATAAATAATGTCTTCTTTTTTTTTTTTGTTACACTGAGAAATAAAAGCTTGTGGGCCATATTTTCAGTCAGGCATCTTTACACCACTCTGTGTAAAGGATTCTTAGCCCTGGTCTACACTAGGACTTTAGGTCGAATTTAGCAGCGTTAAATCGATGTAAACCTGCACCCGTCCACACAATGAAGCCCTTTATTTCGACTTAAAGGGCTCTTAAAATCGATTTCCTTACTCCACCCCTGACAAGTGGATTAGCGCTTAAATCGACGTTGCCGGCTCAAATTTGGGGTATTGTGGACACAATTCGATGGTATTGGCCTCCGGGAGCTATCCCAGAGTGCTCCATTGTGACCGCTCTGGACAGCACTCTCAACTCAGATGCACTGGCCAGGTAGACAGGAAAAGAACCGCGAACTTTTGAATCTCATTTCCTGTTTGGCCAGCGTGGCAAGCTGCAGGTGACCATGCAGAGCTCATCAGCACAGGTGACCATGATGGTGTCCCAGAATCGCAAAAGAGCTCCAGCATGGACCGAACGGGAGGTACGGGATCTGATCGCTGTTTGGGGAGAGGAATCCGTGCTATCAGAACTCCGTTCCAGTTTTCGAAATGCCAAAACCTTTGTGAAAATCTCCCAGGGCATGAAGGACAGAGGCCATAACAGGGACCCGAAGCAGTGCCGCGTGAAACTGAAGGAGCTGAGGCAAGCCTACCAGAAAACCAGAGAGGCGAACAGCCGCTCTGGGTCAGAGCCCCAAACATGCCGCTTCTATGATGAGCTGCATGCCATTTTAGGGGGTTCAGCCACCACTACCCCAGCCGTGTTGTTTGACTCCTTCAATGGAGATGGAGGCAATACGGCAGCAGGTTTTGGGGACGAAGAAGATGATGATGAGGAGGAGGTTGTAGATAGCTCACAGCAAGCAAGCGGAGAAACCGGTTTTCCCAACAGCCAGGAACTGTTTCTCACCCTAGACCTGGAGCCAGTACCCCCCGAACCCACCCAAGGCTGCCTCCTGGACCCAGCAGGCGGAGAAGGGACCTCTGGTGAGTGTACCTTTTAAAATGCTATACATGGTTTAAAAGCAAGCATGTGAAAGGATTACTTTGCCCTGGCATTTGCGGTTCTCCTAGATGTAGTCCTAAAGCCTTTGCAAAAGGTTTCTGGGGAGGGCAGCCTTATTGCGTCCTTCATGGTAGGACACTTTACCACTCCAGGCCAGTAACACGTACTCGGGAATCATTGTAGAACAAAGCATTGCAGTGTATGTTTGCTGGCATTCAAACAACATCCGTTCTTTATCTCTCTGTGTTATCCTCAGGAGAGTGAGATATAATTCATGGTCACCTGGTTGAAATAGAGTGCTTTTCTTCAGGGTACACTCAGAGGAGCCCATTCCTGCTGGGCTGTTTGCCTGTGGCTAAACAGAAATGTTCCCCGCTGTTAGCCACAGGGAGGGGGGAAGGTTGAGGGGGTAGTCACGCGGTGGGAGGAGGCAAAATGCGACCTTGTAACGAAAGCACATGTGCTATGTATGTAATGTTAACAGCAAGGTTTACCCTGAAAGAGTGTAGCCACTGTTTTATAAAATGTGTCTTTTTAAATACCGCTGTCCCTTTTTTTTTCTCCACCAGCTGCATGTGTTTCAATGATCACAGGATCTTCTCCTTCCCAGAGGCTAGTGAAGCTTAGAAAGAAAAAAAACGCACTCGCGATGAAATGTTCTCCGAGCTCATGCTGTCCTCCCACACTGACAGAGCACAGACGAATGCGTGGAGGCAAATAATGTCAGAGTGCAGGAAAGCACAAAATGACCGGGAGGAGAGGTGGTGGGCTGAAGAGAGTAAGTGGCGGGCTGAAGACAGGGCTGAAGCTCAAATGTGGCGGCAGCGTGATGAGAGGAGGCAGGATTCAATGCTGAGGCTGCTGCAGGACCAAACCAGTATGCTCCAGTGTATGGTTGAGCTGCAGCAAAGGCAGCTGGAGCACAGACTGCCACTGCAGCCCCTCTGTAACCAACCGCCCTCCTCCCCAAGTTCCATAGCCTCCACACCCAGACGCCCAAGAACGCGGTGGGGGGCCTCCGGCCAACCAGCCACTCCACCACAGAGGATTGCCCAAAAAAAAGAAGGCTGTCATTCAATAAATTTTAAAGTTGTAAACTTTTAAAGTGCTGTGCTTAAAGTGCTGTGTGGCATTTTCCTTCCCTCCTCCACCACCCCTCCTGGGATACCTTGGTAGTCATCCCCCTATTTGTGTGATGAATGAATAAAGAATGCATGAATGTGAAGCAACAATGACTTTATTGCCTCTGCAAGCGGTGATTGAAGGGAGGAGGGGCGGGTGGTTAGCTTACAGGGAAGTAGAGTGAACCAAGGGGCGGGGGGTTTCATCAAGGAGAAACAAACAGAACTTTCACACCGTAGCCTGGCCAGTCATGAAACTGGTTTTCAAAGCTTCTCTGATGCGTACCGCGCCCTCCTGTGCTCTTCTAACCGCCCTGGTGTCTGGCTGCGCGTAACCAGCAGCCAGGCGATTTGCCTCAACCTCCCACCCCGCCATAAACGTCTCCCCCTTACTCTCACAGATATTGTGGAGCACACAGCAAGCAGTAATAACAGTGGGAATATTGGTTTCGCTGAGGTCTAAGCGAGTCAGTAAACTGCGCCAGCGCGCCTTTAAACGTCCAAATGCACATTCTACCACCATTCTGCACTTGCTCAGCCTGTAGTTGAACAGCTCCTGACTACTGTCCAGGCTGCCTGTGTACGGCTTCATGAGCCATGGCATTAAGGGGTAGGCTGGGTCCCCAAGGATAACTATAGGCATTTCAACATCCCCAACAGTTATTTTCTGGTCTGGGAATAAAGTCTCTTCCTGCAGCTTTAGAAACAGACCAGAGTTCCTGAAGATGCAAACATCATGCACCTTTCCCAGCCATCCCACGTTGATGTTGGTGAAACGTCCCTTGTGATCCACCAGAGCTTGCAGCACTATCGAAAAGTACCCCTTGCGGTTTATGTACTCGGCGGCTTGGTGCTCCGGTGCCAAGATAGGGATATGGGTTCCGTCCATAGCCCCACCACAGTTAGGGAATCCCATTGCAGCAAAGCCATCCACTATGACCTGCACATTTCCCAGGGTCACTACCCTTGATATCAGCAGATCTTTGATTGCGTGGGCTACTTGCATCACAGCAGCCCCCACAGTAGATTTGCCCACTCCAAATTGATTCCCAACTGACCGGTAGCTGTCTGGCGTTGCAAGCTTCCACAGGGCTATCGCCACTCGCTTCTCAACTGTGAGGGCTGCTCTCATCTTGGTATTCATGCGCCTCAGGGCAGGGGAAAGCAAGTCACAAAGTTCCATGAAAGTGCCCTTACGCATGCGAAAGTTTCGCAGCCACTGGGAATCGTCCCAGACCTGCAACACTATGCGGTCCCACCAGTCTGTGCTTGTTTCCCGAGCCCAGAATCGGTGTTCCACAGCATGAACCTGCCCCATTAGCACCATGATGCATGCATTGGCAGGGCCCATGCTTTCAGAGAAATCTGTGTCCATGTCCTGATCACTCACGTGACCGCGCTGACGTCGCCTCCTCGCCCGGTATCGCTTTGCCAGGTTCTGGTGCTGCATATACTGCTGGATAATGCGTGTGGTGTTTGATGTGCTCCTAATTGCCAAAGTGAGCTGAGCGGCCTCCATGCTTGCCTTGGTATGGCATCCGCACAGAAAAAAGGCGTGGAACGATTGTCTGCCGTTGCTCTGATGGAGGGAGGGGCGACTGACGACACGGCTTACAGGGTTGGCTTCAGGGAGCTAAAATCAACAAAGGGGGTGCCTGTACATCAAGGAGTATTTCAGGCAGGACTTCACGGAGGGTTCCAATAAGAAATGGTGCACCTAAGTTATTGTTCTTATTGGAACAAGGAGGTTAGCCTGGCCTCTGACTGATACATGCCTAGATTTACCTCGCTGCACCTTCTCTGTGAGTGACTGCAGTGTGACCTAGAGGAATGAGTCCCCTAGACAGGGGAGGAGGCAAATGAGTACAAAACAAATCTGGTCTATTTCTTGTTTTGACCCACTCCATCTATCTTTTACATCTTTGGCTGGCAGCAGACGGTGCAGAAGGACTGCATGCCATCCACATCTCATGGCTGCTCGGCAGAAGATGGTACAGTACGACTGCTAGCCATCCCCATCTCTTGCCTGCCTGGCAGAAGATGGTACAATACGACTGCTAGCAATCCTCATCTCTTGCCTGCCTGGCAGAAGATGGTACAGTACGACTGCTAGCAGTCCATATCGCCTGCCCGCTCACCATAAGATGGTTCAATAGGACTGACTGCGGGACTAAAGAGAATGACCTGGTCAAGTCACTCCAAATTTAGTCCCTGCGCCCATGTCTGCCCAGGCGCTCCCAGCCGACGTGGCCAGGAGCACCTCGGACACGACGAGGACGACTACCAATCGTATTGCACCGTCTGCTGCCAGAAGGCAATGGGTTGCTGCTACTGTGCAGCAAAGCCGTACCGCGTCTGCCAGCACCCAGGAGACATAGGGTGACGGTTACCTGAGCGGGCTCCATGCTTGCCGTGGTATGGCGTCTGCACAGGTAACTCAGGAAAAAAGGCGCGAAATGATTGTCTGCCCTTGCTTTCACGGAGGGAGGGAGGGAACGGGGGCCTGACGATACGTACCCAGAACCACCCGCGACAATGTTTTAGCCCCATCAGAGTGCTCCATTGTGACTGCTCTGGACAGCACTCTCAGATGCCCGATTGTTTGCTGTTGCTCTGACGCCGGGAGGGGCGCTTACAGGGTTGGCTTCAGGGAGCTAAAATCAACAAAGGGGGTGGCTTTACATCTAGGAGTATTTCAGGCAGGACTTCACGGAGGGTTCCAATAAGAAATGGTGCACCTAAGTTATTGTCCTTATTGGAACAAGAAGGTTAGCCTGGCCTCTGATTGATACATGGCTAGATTTACCTCGCTGCACCTTCTCTGTGAGTGACTGCAGTGTGATCTAGAAGAATGAGTCCCCTAGACAGGGGAGGGGGGGAAGCAAATGAGTACAAAACAAATCTGGTCTATTTCTTGTTCTGACCCACTCCATCTATCTTTTACATCTTTGGCTGGCAGCAGACGGTGCAGAAGGACTGCATGCCATCCACATCTCATGGCTGCTCGGCAGAAGATGGTACAGTACGACTGCTAGCAGTCCGTATCGCCTGCCCGCTCACCATAAGACGGTTCAATAGGACTGACTGCAGGCAGGACTAAAGAGAATGACCTGGTCAAGTCACTCCAAATTTAGTCCCTGCACCCATGTCTGCCCAGGCGCTCCCAGCCGACGTGGCCAGGAGCACCTCGGACATGACGATGACGGCTACCAGTCGTACTGTACCGTCTGCTGCCACAAGGCAAGGGGTTGCTGCTACTGTGTAGCAATGCCGTACCGCGTCTGCCAGCACCCAGGAGACATAGGGTGACGGTTACCTGAGCGGGCTCCATGCTTGCAGTGGTATGGCGTCTGCACAGGTAACTCAGGAAAAAAGGCGCGAAATGATTGTCTGCCCTTGCTTTCACGGAGGGAAGGAGGGAACGGGGGCCTGACGATATGTACCCAGAACCACCCGCGACAATGTTTTAGCCCCATCAGGCATTGGGATCTCAACCCAGAATTTCAATGGGCAGCGGAGACTGCGGGAACTGTGGGATAGCTACCCACAGTGCAACGCTCCGGAAGTCGACTCTAGCCTCGGTACTGTGGAAGCGCTCCGCCGAGTTAATGCACTTAATGCACTTAGAGCATTTTCTGTGGGGACACACACACTCGAATATATAAAACCGATTTCTAAAAAAACGAGTTCTATAAATTCGACCTTATTCCGTAGTGTAGACATACCCTTAGAGTGCATGAAATGTAATTTAGTCCCATTCTAATTGCACTTAACACTGACAGAGTTCTATAAAGGGCCCACAGTGTAAATGAGAATCAGGCCTGTAATATTTAGGCCATTGATTCTTGTCCAGTCCAGGTAAGTAGTGAATAAAAAATGAAAATACATAACAATCTCATGGTTGCTTAGTGACAAATGAGAAATGAGTCATCCCAGTTCCTAATGGACAGGAATTCTCATTGCGAACATCTCTGCCAGGAATGGATAGGATGTGAAGTGGTAGTCTCAAGAGAAGAGATGGAAAAACAAGTGGTCCTGGAAACTGAACTACTCTCTCACCCTTAAAGGTGCTTCCTCATGGTCCGGGTTAGGGCACGTTGGCTGGGCAAGCATGAGGCAGCTGACACTGTTGCAGCCCCTACTGAACTTATTCTATTGCTAAATGGAAAAATTGACCTGCAAGGGCCGTCAATGAACCTGGCACCTTCCACGAGCACTAAATGGACTGGCTTTTAGTTTGCTGACCTCACCACGTTTCACTAGTTTGCCCCTGGAACATTTTGACCAAGTTTTGCCTAGGCAAAAACAGCCTAAAGAAACACCCCAATGGCAGCCTCTAAGCTCAGAGGGTGATATGATGCCATCACGTTAAGGAGAGCTCTCCACTGATTTTATCCCCAAAACAGCCAACATTGGGCCTGGCCCGTTTATTTAGGTGCAATGGGTGGGGAGGGAAAACCTTCTTCTCTCTATTTCACACCCATTCAGGGCATGGCATAATGTACCCCTTAACATATTCTTGATTCATATTAGCATGTGTTGCTTTCTAATATGTGAAACAAAAAACAATCAGAAAGAATACAGCAGTGCTTTTTTTGTGATTGATTTTTTTAAAACTCCACAGCCAGCCAGACTTTCTGCTGAGTAGGTAGTTCAGCTTCCAGCAAAGCCAGGAGCTGTGACATTTTTGTGACCTGCAAAGCCCAGTAGGTCACAACTATTTTGGTAGGATCAAGCCCTTAAAGTACTGGTTTATAGCAAAGATTTATGTTGATAACATAATATGAAATTACTTGGCATGCATTTTATTCTAATAGAAGCTAGAGGGATTGTGATTGTATGTGCTTCTATTTTAATGATGCTTAAAGAACTGATGCCCTAAACCATGGGAAAAACTGTTCC